GCTCGGCGGGAGCGGGCGGGGCGCGCAGCCGGAGCCCCCCTCCGCCATCTGGGGCGGCAGGGGGCCGCCGCCCACCCCCGGCATTTTGTCCCTGTGGCCACGCCGCTGAGCCCGGCCCCGGGAGCGGGTCCCCAACACCCACAGGAGTTGCACAACAGGGCAATGGGCCAGGCCGGGCCCTACCGGGGCTGGAGCGGGGCCACTGGTTGAGCATTAACCTGCTGGACTCGGGCTACAGAGAAACCGGTCGTGCCAGAGCCAGTTTCACTGAAAGTCCCCAGAGACTAAATATATCTCTGTTTACTTTTCCTTCCCCAAAAGAAAACTCGGGGTGTAATCACACATCTTATTGCACAGATCCCCCCTCCCAGAAACTAACTGGTTCTAGACTTCACAGAATTTTGTGAAGGATTTTCAAAACCAGCCACTGCCCGAGTGCTGGCAGACATCACAACCCACGCCGAGAAGCTCCCAGGGCTATGAGGCCCCCAGGCTCCCTCGGGTGCAAGGCCAAGCAGTGCAGCACTCAGCTCGCAGTAAGGCTTGCAGGCATCTCTCACCTGAAGTTTGTGGGAGCTGGGCATGGCTGAAAGGGAATGGCCAAGATGTACCACAGGAAAAAATTTATGACACAAGGAGAGGTTTTTACTGCTCAGAAGTCCAAGAGACTTTCATCAGACAGACACGGAATTAAAAGATTCAGACTAAAAGATTCAACATCCTGCTCTGAATACCAAAGAGGCTGCAGCCAACCGCTCTGCAGGAAAAAAAAAAGGATTAAAAAGGAGCTTCTCCCAAGGGACAGAGTCCAGCCCACTGTCCCCAGGGTCATCATGGCATCAGGGGTGCTGTTTCCACAGGGAAAAAGCTTGGAGCTCCAGTAGGAGCTTCCACCCCCTGACTCACCTGTGGGCATGGTCCGTCCAGCTCAGGCAAAAGCTGACGCTGCCCTCTCAGGCTTGCCCACACTTGGTAGCAAGCTTCTCAGGAGAAGCAGCCCACCAAAAAACTCCTGGGCTTATGGCATGCACAATCTTAGACCAAAGCTCTTCTTTCAGACCCAGCCTGGAGCACCGAAACACAAGGGATATCTAACCTCTCCCCTCCAGATTTTGTCTTTTGATGTTTGGCAGAAGGATCAGATACTGAACTTTCTCTATAGAGGCAGCAGTAGTGTGAGAGGGACACAAAACCTGACCCAGGAACTTGTCCCAACTGGCTTAGAGTAGGGAGATGCTCTGGCAAGAGAGTCCAGCTCAATGTCCTCATCTCTTGCTACTCAAAGCATGCTCAGAGCCTCCTGACAAGCTGGCAGCACTGTTTCCAACCATGACAGACACTCTCACTTTAGCAACAGCTTCCCACGTTACCTTCTTCCTCCTTCCCATAAGGCATCTATGGCTTTTATACTTTCTTTAAAAAAAAAAAAAAAAATCAGCAAAATTAGCGACCGTGGGATGGCTGGAACCGCTGGTGCTGATTATAGCACATACAGCAGTAAGGATGAAATCTGCTACAAACACACATTTCTTCATCCAGCAACTCAGACTTGGAAGTAGCCTGACTTGAGGCCACAAACAGCGCAGAGATGTTGAGTAGGCAAGAAGAGCGTAGGAAGTGTGTGACAGCCTGCACCACTCAAGAGTTTTACTGGAGAACGGTCCTTGGTTGAACATCAGGGTCTTCAAAGCTCTGAAATGCACAGCCTCAGCAGCCCCTACCTCAAGGGGAAGGAGAAGTACTTGTTGCCCGACTTGCAGCGGATTTCTTCCCACTGGACACGCAGCAGGAGTGATGAGTCTTCAAACCTATCCACGATGTCCTGAAAAACAGAAGCAGGAGTCAGTACCAGGAAGGTGGATCTGCCAGAGGACAGAGTTGGCAGCTCCCTCTCTGAACTAAGTCACAGACAAGGCCATTTGTGGCTGGAAGCCTCTGACTTCCTTCTGGAGGGTGATTTAACTCACACTCCCCTCAGAAGCTTCTCTTCTTTCAAGACAGTCAAGTCTGTCTTGCTCAGTGAAGAGAATTTCCCACTGTCCACCCTCAGCAGGGAGATGTGGCTGGACACCAGCTCTGCTCTTCCCCTGCTCTCCACATTGTGTGGGGACACACCTGGAGCTCACGCAGACACTGCCCGTCCAGCCTGCCAGTCAGGTCCCCAACACACCAAGCCAAGCTGATATGGAACGACGGGTCCTGAAGACAAAACAGAGGTCAGATCGTGAGGGCTAACTAAAGGAGGCTTTGCTCAACACATGGAGCCACAGTGGGAGATCTGGTGTGATGCTGCCCTGCCTGGGATCGCAGAGGTAGGAGGATCCTGAAGCTAGGGGCCCCCTCTGCCAGCTCAACAGTTGCAGAGCTGATATGGACAGTGCTGGAGGTGAGATGAGACCTGGGCTCCCCACACCAGCCTTTTTGGACACCAGTAGGCAAGGCTGCCTGGTTCACAGCCTCCCTGTGGTCAACTTTGCAGAAGCTTTTCCAACTGCACAAAGAACCTCTCATGGACAGTCCTGGAACAGGTAGGTGTATCACTTGTGAATAACCCACAAGATCCCCCTGCTCAGCTCTGGAAACAGAGAAATCAGGGTCTGGCCCTCCAAAATCCAAAACCTGTCCCCAAAGCTAATCCCAAGCCAAGAGGCTGGACCAATGCCCCAGGAAACTGCCCAAGGAAAAGGCACAAGCATCGCCCTCAGTCCCACAGTGCTCACCCCTAAGCCTGTATCAATCCTAGGACAACCCTGCTTCCGCACACAGTGGGGCAGCAACTGTGATGCAGGCTCTGGCCCTTCTCCCCAGAAACCTGATTCTCCAGAGGCTACCAGATAGTTAACACATTAATCTCCTGCACAGGATGTGATCCAGAAGTAATAGACTTGCACTAGTCCCATTCTCAGCAGGATTGTGTTCAGGGTGTTAAGTATGAGCATCACCAACCAGCCCAGAGGAGACCATTTCAGAGTCTAAACTCCCTGGTCCTGTTTATTTGGGGTGAATATTTCAAGGACCCCTCGCAGAGAACCAGTCGGCATCTCTGAACTGGTAGGAAAGTAAGTGGGAGACCCCTCACCTTGTAGAACGTGGGAAGGTCAAATTCCTCCAGAACTCTGTCCACCTCTGAGACCAGCTCCAGCAGCTGGAAATGCCCAGCGGAGACCTCCAAGCCAATAAAGGTCCTAAAGAAATACAAGAAGAGACAGAAAACACCCTTTCATGCTGCAGAAAGCACAGCTGGAAGCACACCTAGCCCTATATTCCTACCCGGCAAATTCCCTACCTTGTAACAAAAGATAACTTGAGAAATGCCAGGTTTAAGCATTCAAGGATGCTGACCATATTCTGAAGAAAAACAGACATGAAGAAGCAGGACTGGATGATATACCACATAGATTTATTAGATTAGCTCAGTACCTTTTGGGACACGAAAATTCATTTTCCAGGCAAGGGATGTGCTCAATGGGTATTTCAGCAAAGCACTGTATCGTGCAGGAGCTGCATTCAAAAAGTGGAAGTTGGCAGAGGGGTTTTACAGTGGGAGAGGAAGTGGAGAAGGGGAAGTACCAAGCTGGAGAGACCTCACAAAGAGGTACTTTCTCAAGGACTGTCTGGAGGATGCTTTCTAGACTCCAGGAGGGGAGGGGAAGACTTAAAGTCTCTCTCAGGTTCCACATCATCCCATCCATGACTATCATGGGCTGCCATTCCTGCTAGATTCAGCAACCTTTCACAATTTTAATCACCTTTGCTTTGACATTTAAACTACTTAATTGTGTTCAGTTGGAATCAGGCTTCTGAGACGACGCCTGGAAGAATTAGCACTGTCTGAGCTATTTCTCTCCAGTTCTTGGAAGACCTGCACTGCAATTTCACGACTGGCACTGCTGCCGAAAGAGGCAGCCCTGGCTCTGCTCACGCTGGCACGAGAGTTCACGAAACCACAAGACAAACCAGATGGGAGATGGCAGTGAAAGTGGTTGGCTCCTTTAGCTGCTGTGAAACCGTAGCACGAATCTAACCCCAGCAGAAAGGTCTGCCTCAGGTCATGTTGTGAACAGATCTTTCTTCAGAAGACTGAAATCCTTCAGCCTAAGGTTTGGCCACCACTAATGTGACTGACGGCTACCAGAGAATCAGCACAGAAGCTAAAAAGTTGTGCAGTTTGCTGGGGAAAGGTGTGAAATCTCCGGTGATTGCATATTGTCCCATCGCACAGGTCAGCCTGGTCGCAGTGGGACAGGCAGGGTGACATTTCCCATCCAGCCAGCACTGTGCCCAGCCTTCTCCCCAGGCAGGCAGGCTGCCCTGCTGCTTGCTCACCTGGTTTTGTTCTGGTTGGTGTAAACCTTCACCTGGTCAGCCACACAGAAGAACCTGAAATAAGAAAGATCCTATTTCAGCTGGTGGGGAAAAAAAAAAAAAAAGGAAAATAAAAAAGATGGGGAGGGTACAGGATTTCTACAGAGCTGTGGAAAGATAAAGGCAAACGTGTACCGCAATCGGACCAAACTGGTGCAACCAGAACCCTTCTGGGCTCAAATTAATCCATTTCCTCCTGGCTTGTGGTCCTCGAAGCCCAGACAGCGACAGAGGCCCTAAGCAGCTGATGCTCAGCAGGCACCTGAGCCAGACGTAAGCGGGAAAACCATCCATGGCTTACGGGCTGGCACAGCTCCGGCCACCTCCTTCAAAGCCGAGACCTGACCCGACCCGTTCTGGGTCCCGAGGCAGAGAGGAAAATTCCCCAGGGCTTTACTGGTACAGCGCCAGCTCCCGGAAAGCACAGAAAGGGTGTGGGTGCTGGTGAAACCCGGGCCGCAGGGGAGCGGGACGGGTGCGGGGAGCGCTGTCCCTACCTGTGGAAGGCGGCCAGGCGCTCCTTGAGGGAGCGGACGAAGGGCCCGATCCAGTGGTAGCGCAGCACCACGCACTGCGAGAGGCTGAGGTGGAACTCCTCCATGGCTGCCAGCGAGGGCACAAAGGTGCGAGCGCGGCAGAGTAGGAGCTCCAGCAGCTCCAGAAACTCCTCCTGGGCCCTGTCTGCGGAGCAGCGCCATCAGAGCCCCATCCCCGCCGGGTCCCCCAAGACTCCCGTCCCCGCCGTGCACCGGCCGGGCCGAGTCCCGCCCTCCCCTCCCGGTCCCGCCTCGGGGACACCGGTTACCTACGGGGCAGGTAGACGTGGGTGGCC